TTAACTCACAACCTCAACTGTGTTTTGTAATAATTATACCTATATTATACTCCAATAACGAGTGCCTAGCTACACATCTTAGACAGAGCAAAAGAAAGAAAGATGTAGGGATGGATGTATGATTTTTGTTGTCGGCTGAAGCATCTTGTTGGCATCCTTTTTCATAATTTACACCATCCCTACATCCCCCTTCATTTTGAAGAAATGATTTTTCCACTTGTATATATATGCCTTGGAATTAAGACAGACACCCTCATGTAAAGTGTTCCACCCACTACTCTAAGTATGTGGTCTATCCTTTTGTGCTATAATACGGCTGTACCACTGTGCTGCAGTCTGAATGTCATTATGAGAAGTTGGACAAAAGCTTTCATATGAAAGTCTCAATTAATGCATGCTCAAAAAATTTAACGAAAATTACTACAATAAAAATGCCTATAATTATATTTGTCCAGAGTGCGAGTGTGTGTACATAATACTTATAACTCAGAGTTCAATGGAAGGAGTTCTCCCTCTCTCCCACTCCCTCAGCTGGTCTTCGTAGGCCAAACTCTTGTCTATGAGATGCCAGCACTTTCCTCTCAGGACCCCCCACGCCTCGTCAAGACTCATGCCCCTGCTCATTACTAGGTGGGCCAGAACCACGCTCGCCGACCTCGACCGACCAAACAACATCACCAGCACTCTTCCTCCTCTTCCACTTGATTCGATCTCACTGATAAACCTAACACATGCCATCCAGCACTCCATCATGGCTTGTGTATTAGAATCCCTCACGTCACAAGTCAGTACTGATATGTCTTTCAGTTCTTCCCAGTCTATTGGTTGGTGGCGGGAGACTATCATGTGAGTGATGCCAAGTCTCACGCAGAGGGCCGTGTGTGTTAGTGGAATGACTCGACTCCCGAGAAAGATGTGTTTCGTTATTCGGTGGGGGAGTGGTTCCATCGTCATGAAGTCTACGTGACCACAGAGGAAGCTGTACTCGGCCGCAAAGTCTTCGTAACTGCACCTGCAGAGTTTTAGAGTTTAATATCAAGAGTGAAAGCTGTACGTAAACGATGAGGCAGTCAGTGGCTAATGCAAGCTTTAAGAACATGCTACACTCCAATGCGCTTAGCATACTAAAATCCTTTCCTTTTACAGCTATCTCCCAGCTAGTTGTTCCCCTACTTGATTTAGGGCTAGCCACACTTCTTGCTGCTGAGCTGCCCCGATAAGCTCAGTGGGTATAACACTTTACCTAGACTACAGAATGTCTTGGGTTTTGATTTCCACCCAGAACACTTTTTTTTTTCCTTTGGAAAACAGTTTTCTCCACACTGAAGTGGTTCAAGAAGGTTCGAGGAGGTTCGATGCAGTTGAACCACTCCAACTAGAGTACAAGCATCCTACACAGTGTTATCCCTTGGCACATTAAAGCTTTGCCAGCTACTCCTACACATTGTACGGAAGTTTATGTTACTTAATAGAATGCAGAGAACGTAATGGACTGGGCAGGTGCTATATACAACTCAACTCTAAGATCCAGATCTCCTTGGCAGAGTCGGCAATGGTGAGACAGAAATGCTCAAAGTAATCGAACCCTGGTTCCTCCAGTGACAGTGTCTGGGGTACGTAGGTAGACACTGCCTTTCTCTCCCTCTGGATCCTCTCCAGTCTCCGTGCCAGCCACTCGGAGTGGAACCTGGCCGCGGGGCTGTTGTCTCCATACAGGAGAACTGGACTGGGGTTCTCTGGTCTCATGTACTGTTTCACGTAGGAGTGGATGAAGTCTATTAGTAGCCGCTCTCTCTCTTCTTCCGAGGTCCTGTGAGGATAGCGACAGTAAGTAGTATAGTGAAGCGCGTAAGAGCAATCCATTTTTTTGGAAAGGTAACTTTATTCCGCAATGCACCTCATCATCTAGCTAGCTACACACACTAAATCCACTCAAGGTTTAGCTAGTGTATCGCCATGGTCATGCATTTTTTGACGTGCATGCATACATGGAATCGGATGAAATCATTGCTAAAGGGTATAGTACGAAGCACAAATATCTATGTATATAGGAAGCTTGAGTAAAGTGTCCTTACAGGTTCCTCTCGGTTAGCAGCAGGGTTGGCTAAGTAGGTCATTGCTCCGCTGCTTTGGAGTATGTATAGGTTAGACGCTGAGCCGCGGGAACTACGCGATTTAGTGAGCCGAGGGCCCTGGGGCTGTCGGCGTCCCGAGCGCAGCGAGGGCGCTACTACCAGGAGGCTCACTAAATCGCGTAGTTCCCGAGGCGACGCATCTAACCAACTTAGACTACAGCGCTAGCAACGCACAACAACGCACGCTGCATAGAGGATGCACGGTCGGAGCTTTTTGCTGAGGACGAACTGAAAGCCAGTTCGAGCAGCCGTACAACAACGACTATACCAGCAAGGCAGTAGAGAGTGTTTGTTCTAGGCGGCGCGGCTCGCTAACGCGAAAGTAGGCGGGGCCGCTAGGCGCTTCTCGCACCGCTAGCGTGCGCGTCTCTGGCTCGAGCTGTAGCTAGGGCCCTGTAGTCATGCACCGCTTCCTACTAGAAGACGGAGTACCTGGGGTTTCGTGAGAAAGAACCTCTCCAGAAGCTCCGTTTGCCTTCCGCTCGCACGGCGTCTCTCGATTTGAAGGCGTGGTTGCCATGGCCAATAAAAGTGCCGCGGGGCTGCGAAATAGTTACCGCGGAAGAGGTAACTAACAAAAATAGTTACCTCTAAACTCGAATCTGATTGGTCAATTGCGTGTTACCGTAGTCTAAATATTATTATTGCATGCAAATACGAACATAACACTAACTAACTGGAGGGGAGGGTAGGGGAAGGAGACAGCGGTGGCCATGTGTCCTCGAGAGTACTCGTGAGAGGGTCGTATGTCCATCACCAGATGGTGTTCGTAGAGTGGGAGATTAAACGCGTCGTCAGGGCCCACCGTCCGCAGTAGAGACGAGCCGTCTGCAGTAGCTGGCCGTACCTCCACAGATGAAGTGGTCTGGGCAGACATCGGACTTTTACGACGACACGCCCTCTCTCATCGCGCATCATACGCATAAGCTTATACGCCGCCCTGGTAGTGTATACACGTGTGTACGCGGCCATGTTGTTTAGCGCGCGCGTGCCACACAAATGGGAGGGGCGGGGCTGGAGGCGAATTGCCGTCGCTCAAGAAAATATGCGCCGGCACGCCCACCGTTGGGAGCTCACTGAGGAAGTCAGTGTGTTTCTCAGTTTCTCAGCAGCTATTCGGTCCAGGGCACCATAGTCCAGAAGCCGTGAGTACCCCAAAACCTGTTCCTCGCGGTAGGCTAAGCTTAGAGTATATTGGTGTAGTAGGCTACCGGGGGAAAGGAAACTAGCTAGTGCTCATAAAGCAAGGGCGGGGCCGTGATGGCTACTCCACACAGCCCTACGCCCCGGACCGCGGCCGACCAGTTGTCTCGCGAATTAGGTGAAGGCGATCTAAAAGTTATATCTGAAACCCTTCAACCGATTGCCGGAAAGTATTTGCTTTTCGGTATACAAATCGGCGTTAGCCATAGTGGTATCAAGAACATTAAGGAAGAATATACCAATCCCAGTGTGTGTCTCCTTGAAATCTTATCCATTCGTTTGAAGCAGGATCAAGCTCTCACATGGAATGATATTGACGCAGCACTCAGGTCAAATAGTGTCGGTGAACATGGGTTAGCCAACGAAATAATAGAACGTATTGGTTATGAACTTAGTTTATCTGATGGTGGTGGAAAACAACCTTCACAAAGGGGCCAAGGAAAAGGGAAATCAACTGAGAAAGCTTCTACAGAACATGATACACAAAGTGAAGAAGGGCAGTGTTCAAGTGAAAAATCCCATGGCGATGAACAAGAAACACCAGAAAGAGGCAAAAGAAAAGGGAAATTCACTGAGAAGTATTCCCCTCTTCATTATACTGAACTCAGTAAAGAAGAAGGGCAGTTTTCAAGTTCACACGATGGACAAAAAAAATCAGAAAAGGGCAAAAGAAGAAAGAAATCAACAAAAAGCTTCCCCACAACATCACACTCAGCTAAGTGAAGAAGAAGGGCAGGATTCAAGTGAAGGTGATGGACAACAAACATCACAAAGGGGAAAAGGAAACGAAAATTAACAAAGAAAGCTTATCATGCACAACACAGTGAAGAAGAAAGGCAGTTTCCAGGTGAAGAATCCGAAGGCGATGAACAACCAACAAAAAGGGGCAAAAGAAAAAGTAAATCAACAAAGAAAGCTTCCCCACAACATTACACTCAGTTTAGTGAAGAAGAAGGACAGTTTTCAAATGAAAGTGATGAACAACAAACACCAGAAAGGGAAAAAAGGAAAAGGAGGTCAACAAAGAAAGCTTCCACAGAGTGTCAGACTCAACCAAGTGAAGAAGAAGAGCAGTTTTCACGTGGAAAATCACCAGAAAGAGGCAAAAGGAAAACAAAAAAAGGTTCCCCACGACATTACACCCAGCTAACTGAAGAAGAATGGCAGGATTCGGGTAAAGGAAGTGCGAAAGAGAGGCGCAAAAGAAAAAGATACAAAAAGCACAAGCAAGAAGTAAGTACAACAGAAGGCTTCTCCACAAAAAAGCAACACATAGTGCAACAAAAGAGGTTAAAATATAAGCAAGAAGCAAAGGTAGGTAAGAAAGAGTTAAAAGGGAGTGGATTTTCACAAAGTCAAGAAACAAGTGATACCATGGAGGAAAACTCTGATAGTGAAGAAAGTGAAGAAGTCGCAATGAAACACACAAGTTATGTAAAGCAAAGATCACCGATAAGAGAGGGTGATAGTGAGTCCTTTGCAGAAAGTAACGAAGAAGAAATGATAAGTGGTAAGTTAGTTCAAAAGAAGGGGTTGCACAAAACAGAAGTGTTACGAAAAGAACGTAAAGGAGTTAAAGGTACCAAAGAGCAGTATTCTAGTGATAGTGCCGATCACTCTTCTGAGCAAACTGAAACAGAATCAAACGAAAACGATACTTCTGAACGTGAAGAAGATAATGGTGTGGCGGAATCTCCCAAATCAAAAGGAAAGATGATACAAAAGCCAGAAAGAAAGCACTCAGAAATAACCAAACAAAAAATCTGCAAAGGAAGTAAACGTGAATCTGATAGCAAGTTTGCAAAAGTAGGTAAAAAAAGAAAGCGGTTTCAAACACGAGTGAAATTGCCACAAACAAAAATAGAAAGACCTACCCAAAGTGGGGCAAGTGGAATAATGGCAATGGGTTCTCATCAAAGTTCAACAGTAGAACATGGGTCTGATATAAGCAGTATGGAGCAAGATACTCCCGTTATGACCTATAAGAGAGCGAGAGAAGCTAGTGACGCCACTGCCCCTACATCATTCCCCAATTTACAGGTGAGTCGGAAGAAATCATGGAAAAGAAAGAGAAGAAGGAGAGAGAGACTGGAGAGCACTTCTAGTTCCTCAGATACTGACGACTCTTCACCAGAGAGTGACATGATGAGAAAAATCTCTGAATCGGAGACCAAAAAACTCAGAAAAGTGTTCAGATGTTTCTTTGGCAAACTCTGCCGTCAAATCAAAGATCCAGTAGAAATGGCGGCTGGGCTACAGGCCAAACGTCTGCTATCGCAATCAACAATGGAAGAAATCTTAACAACTCCCGATTCTCGGCAAGAAAAGGTAATAGTATTGGTTAGATCTCTCCAAAGGAGAATAAAGTCGCGTCCCGACAGGATCTTTGGAATCGTCAAATTTTTTCTGCGCATTGAAGCCATAGGCAAAGAAATGTGGTTGGAAACTGGTAAGTAATATATAGCGTACATACTTTGTCGTGTAAATATTCTTGTATTTATTGCAGGAAAAGTGTGCCCTGAGAGAGCAGCCTTCGTGTTTGGCACTGCACTACCTCCTACTGAGAGAGAATCAACTGTGGAATCACTGGAAGGTATATAAGAGATCTGACATGACTCTACTTAATTTGTTTATACTGTCACATAGCTAAGGTAAGTATCACTCACAGTGATGCAATACCAGAGTTGTAGCTTTGATAACTGTAGTTTTGCTGAATGACTTCCTGCATTCTTTAAATTCTTCCCCTCTATACATGCAGAGATAAAAGGAGAGGCAGTGCAGGGGACTCTAAGGAAAACCCACCTACCGCAACCTTCGGTGGCCATTGGTGTTGGTGATAATGTAACGTTAAGTCAGTCTCTGCCACAGTCTGGTATAAGTCAAGCGTTGACAAAGTATAAGCAGTACTTGCAGTCTTGTTACAATGCTAGAGTCCTAGCTCCAGCAGACAAGTACCTTCCTACCCTAGATGCCCCGTACATTAATCTTGCCATGATTAGAAGGGAGCACTGCAATCCCAAGCAAAGAGATGAGTTCACTAGACAAACACTGCATGGAGGAGTAGACGAGATTCTTCAGAGTAAGACACCCATTAACATTGAAGACCTGTTGACTCCAGATGACAGCGGTAATCCAGTCAGGTTCATTCTGGTAGAAGGTCCTCCGGGAATTGGTAAGAGTACATTTGCCTGGGAGGCATGTAGGAGATGGGATGAGATAGAAAGCCTCCGAAACTACCACGTTGTGGTGCTGCTCAAGTTGAGGGAAAAGTGGGTCCTAAATGCAGTGTCACTCCCTAGCCTTTTCAGATATGAATATAGCCCTGAGTTGAGCAAGAGTATTTCTGAAGAGCTTGCTATAACCCAAGGACGAAACCTATTACTAATATTGGATGGTTTTGACGAAGTGTCTCACAGTTTCCATGAGAAATCTGTCATAAAAAGCATTCTATGCAGGCAACTCTTGCCAGAATGTACCATCATTCTCACTACTAGACCATCTGCTAAGTCCATACTAGAAAGTATCTGCCAGCCTCAAGTTGATAAACATGTAGAAATAATAGGGTTCACAGAGGAAGAGAGAGTGAGGTATATCACTGAGGTCTTTAGCAATGAACCAGAGCTTCAGGTGAATTTCTTGAAGTACATGTTTCATGTCCCTCACATAAAGTCAATGATGTACATTCCACTCAACTGTGCCATTATAGCACAAGTCTATTACGAGTCTCAGAGTAGCCGCCACCTCGCTATACCGAAAACAAGAACACAGCTGTACAAGGCACTCACTCATTCTCTTATTGTTAGACACATAAAATGAAGGAAAGCAATTTTGA